TAAAAAATGACAACCTGATTTGAATGTGTTTATTGATACTATTCCATCTGATAGTAATTTTTTCCTACTTAGAAAATAATATAAAAATCTAGGGATTGAATTGAAGTTAAAATGTTCAGTGCTTCTTAAGAAATAAAGACTTTGGATGAAGATATTCAGGATACATGAGAATGTCAGACTTAGGGCTGAGTCCATTCAATAAATTTAAATGGTGCCTAYACACTTGCTGTTCAGAGGGTGGAGGTGAATGAATACAAGGAGGCTCAGCTGACCTCATGAGGTTTCCTGTCTGGCAGTTAGACTTCTGTGGCCCCTTAGTTTTTATTTTAAATGACCAGCAGCAATCAGGTGTAAAATAAAGCTTTTTTTTTTTTAGTTTAATTTCTAGAAAACACTCATTTTAAGGAAGAATATTATGTAGCCCATATAGAAAACAACTTAATTTATTTTTAAATGCAATTATTTTTCTTGAAAATATTGGTATAATTAATTATGGAATTGAATTTTGGGTGTGCATTTTGTTCTATTTGGAAATAAAAATGGCATCAYTTTGGTGCAAAATGTACATTTGAAATTGAGAGAAATTTGTATGTATTCATTTACTTTATAATATACAGTAATTTATACATGCATTATATATTGCAACTTTGAAGGACATTGTTTTGAGTATTTTATGGAGTATTTTATTTGCTGTGTTCTTTCCTGTCGTCTGTCTTTTCAAAACCATTGCAATCTTGACTTGAGAAAACTTCTGGAGAGGATTCCTCAAGTTCCTCTGGATACCAGGTGGCAGAAATTCATTGCCAGGGCCAGCTGGGGCTAACCTCTACTTTGGTTCCCTTTGTTAGTGCAGCTAAGAGCATATAGCTGACCTTTGAAAGAGATAGAAGGTAGGGCAAAACAAAAGTCAGGTTTTAAAAAAATAACTAAATGGAAGTATTTGTTTTGAAGATGTTCTTATTCCGATGATCTTATTCACCCTGTTGATGAAGAAGGGAGCCGCTTTCCCTAAGTAATATGAGATGAGGACACAGACAGTACTGAGCAGATGAGATAGTATAGCAGTTTGTAAGTCACACAAACTTAGCAGCCCAGGGAAGGAGGACACCTTTGGAGTGAGGACATGCCTTGCAAGACTACACGGAGGTTGTACTTGGGGCAGAATGAACCAACAGGGGCGGTGRAAAGCAAAATTTCTAGTGAAAAGAAGGTGAGGAGGACTCATGGTTCCACAGGAAGATATGATTGGCTTGCTTGAATAATTGCTCTGGTAGGGTGGTAAACCTAGTAGGGTAAAGATAAAGTGGGATTGAACTGGCCCACCTCACAGGAGAGTTAGCTGAGAGGGATCCTTCACTACTGGGTGATGGCCATTCCCTGGCAAGAGAAGGAGTATTCATAGCTATGCTTTTTGGATCCTGTGACGCTTTAAGAAGTCAAGGTAGTATRAGAATGTTAGTCTTATATTTCCCATGGTTAAAAGATTAGGAATTGTCAGCGGGAGGAAGTAGTAYCTGGGTCATTTGCAAGGCAATGAAAAACTGCTGGATCACAATGCAGCCACTATAAAGAAGAGGTAGAGCTGAGTGTTCACAAGATAGTGAATAYCAGGGTTTGTACTCCTGTGAAAGGGTGAGTTCAAGGGGCGACACACACCCAATGTATGGCTCATCAGAGGCAGGAGAGTTCATGGGTAWGGAGTGTGGAAACTGTCACACATTTGGGCTCTTATCAGACCTGTGGCTTATGGAAGTTCACTTAATTTCTCTGTAGTTCAGTTTCTTCCTTAGTAGTATAATAGTAACTGTATCATGGGATGGCTAAAATGTTAAATGAGATAATACCTGTAACCAATTATCTATTATTATTGATTGGGCACAGAAGTTACCCAAACCTCTTCTGAGGGTGAGCTAACTAGTGCTTAGCTCTTGGCCTAAAGTAGCAGTCAGGGTTTAAGACTCTGCAATATCATTAAGAACACTTAAACTATACTCGAGATTATCTCTCTTTGCAAGGTCCTAAGTGACAAACTATAAACTGTTACATAGAAGTATTAGGGAAGCTCTGCATTTATAAAATTATTAAGGTGCATTTTAAATAATAACACTTTAAAGATTCTCCTGTCTAAGGGTATTGATATTTTGAGAGCAAGGCCCAAGGCCTATTATTACATAAAAGACATTCAATAAATTTTGATTGAATAGCTTTTGAAAAATGAGGCATTGTAGCTCTCCAATTATGGTAATCCCTCTGTAGCTTCATTTGTAATATTTGCAAGTAAATTGAACAAAAGATTAGTTGTAGTCCAGTTTGCAAAGATTKTCCCAAAATGTGCATCTAAAAGGCAATATTAAACTGTATTCTGATTGGAAGATGGGAACTTGTCTTGAAGTTCCAGAGAAGAACATGCATATTATTTATTTGGATATAGGGATACATAGAAGAAAAATCTCTTCCAAGCTACTTGTTGACTCATCCACTGTGGTAGATGTAGGGAATAACAGTTAGTAACAAAATGTATTTGTTATTTTTGACTGTAAACATTTTATACAGACTAAACACACTTATTTTCTTGTTAAATATTACTCCCTTTTTATATATGACTTCCTACCTGTTTTGTTGAGATAAACTGTAAAATCACCAAGAAGAGAGCTTGCCTGCATGTCACTGTAAGCCCCATTATGCCTAATATAGTGTTTTTTGATGTCATGTGTTCAATCAATATTTGTTAGTTGACTAGTTTTTATTGATTCATCAATACTTCCCAGTTGTGTTTGTGATTTTCTCCTTGCAAGACAAATTGTTTTAGAGACTCCAAGTGAATGAATTGTACCAGGTAATATAAAACTTCTTTTAATGTTCACAGTCTATGGTGATTAACTCTATCAGGGAGAAATCTTAGTAACAATAAAGTAGTTCTGAGAAAACTTAGGAATTTATGAGACATATATTAACTTACAAGTGATTCTACAGAATAAAATTATGTAGATAAAAATTATGTATATTACTAGAGAAAAGTATGATAGACAGYGTTTGGTGTAACTGACCATAACCTGTTAGGTGCTTAAGTATAGCATGGAATGACTGAGGAACACAGGTTCTGGCTTCCCATGCCCCAGTTTGATTCCTTATCTTAGATCTTGTGCAAGCCATCTTACCTCTCCATGCCTGCTTCCTCATCTGTGAAACAATGAAAATTGTAGTATCTGCTTTATAGGGTTATTATAAAGATTAAATAAGTGATTTAGAGTTCATAAGAAACTTATATTATCTGGTACATGAACACTATATAATTTTTACTATATACACTTCACTATAAAAATTTTCTCATTTCTTCCCATAGACTTCCAAGCATYCTTTCCATGATGGGGGTGGGCAAGCAAAAGATATTCATGGGAAATTTTCTTTTCTGGAATAAAGCTTTGCTTGAAGGTCTAGAATTTACAAGTGCTATTCTCATTTATTAAGAGATCTCATTTATTATGAGATTATTATTAAGAGATTTATTAAGAGATGTTCTAAGAAAATAGTCTAATATTCAGCGAATGAATGTCAAAAGTGAAGTGAACGAATTTCAGATGGAAACAGTGTCCCAGCCATCACCCTGGAATGATTTTAAAGCAAGTAATCTCCTGCTGAAAGTGCTGTCTTTGATATCAAATGGCCATTAAAAATCCCATGACACTTCACTAAGACTTAAAATTATTCAACACTATCTCTAGGCAAGCATTCAGATTTGAGATGAAATTCCCCTAAAGTGGTTAAAGTATTTATAGTCCCCTAACGCTTTTAAATAGTTTTCTTCTGCTGGAGGAGCATTCTCTTCAGGTGGCCACAGCTGAAGATTTGACACTCTTTGTCACTCATCCAGGTTAAGTTGTTGAGTCAATCACATTTCCAAAACATGCTTTGCCTTTTGGTTTATGGTTTTCCATGAATTCTGTTTGTAAACAGTAAATTGACAAAATTCTTTTGTCATCTTTAAATTGCTAAAAGTCTGTTTTTTTCCTTTTCATGAGAAATTTCCCTGAGCACTCTTACCTTAGTTGTTCTCTAAGAAATGTTTCAAAGAAATTCAGAATCTGATAAAAACTTAGTAAAGCCTCCATAGAAACAAATTGTTGAAGTAAAGTATGTTAAAGAGTGATCAGAGAATAAACTAGACTTCACTATGATAAGTATGTGATAATATTTGATTTCAATTCTCATGACTTCTGAATTCTTTCAGAAAATTGTGATGCTATAGAAAAATATCTTCAAGCAGTAACAAAAAATAAAAAAAATTAAAAAAAAAAAACTCTTCACATGTACTGTTTTGAAACCTAAGTGCTATTCGGCCTCCCRCAAAATAGTATTTTGTATTATGCCCTGGTCCATTTCATGAAATTTTAATACAAATTCCTATGAATAGAGAACACAATTTATAGAGAAATGTTTCATTTTAGTTTCAATAGATGTTTCTTATGTCCTGTATTCTCTGATTCTCTTCAAACATTCCCTTTTTTCCTCAGACGACGGTTTCCCTTTGCTTTTATTTATTTGATTCTTCACACCAGTCGTGGCTGGTCTGATGGCTCTCCAGCCGCGGGACCCGGGTTGACAGCGTCTGAGTCGGTGCTGAGAGGCGCCGCGCGCCGGGGGCGGGGCCTGAACGCGRGGCGGGGCGGGGCGGGGGCGGGGCTTCCCCGTGGAGCGCGGCGCGCGGGCACATCCCAGGTTAGCTGCTGTGAGCCGAGCCCGCGGCGGCTGCGGCGGTGGCAGTGATCAGAGCCGATGCTCGCCGGCTCTCCGCGGCTGACTCCAACGCTTCTCTTCGTCTGAGCCACATCGACTCGCCTGGGCTGGGGAGGGACACCTGGCAGTGATCAGCCTGAAAACTAGTGGCACAGCCTCGGGACTGAAGAGAAAGCTGAGTCCCTCAGGTGAAGCCAGTGTCGGAGCGCAGTCCCTCAGCGCCCGACTTCCGATCGCACCCCTGAAAACCTCCACTGCCCGTCTTCAAGCGCCGGCCACGCAGGGCGCGTGGGGAGAGTGGGGTTCACTGCGTGGGAAGGGGGGGCCGGACACCGATGATGGACGCACAGACCTGGCGCGTGGGCTTTCGTTGTCTCCTTCTTTTGGCKTTCGTGGGGTCTACCCGAAGCGAGGGTGGCCAGACGTGTGAAGAAGTTCGGAAACTTTTCCAGTGGCGGTTTGTGGGCGCTGTCAAGGGGTGGCCGGATTCGCCGCGGGCAGGTAAGGAGCCGCTAGCCGGCGCCGGGCACTGCACTTGGGCGCGGTGCGGTCCTCTGAGCGCTCGCCCTGCGGTACGCGGGGCTCTCGGAGGTGGAACTTCGCGGGAAGATGACCTTTGGGCCCCTCCAGCCGCGCAAGGTGAATCCCGTGGCGGCTCCTGGGGATGCGCCTGGGGAACGTCCAGAGCGCAGCGCGGCTCCGGGCTTTCCCTAACGCGCCCGAGGCTATTCCGAGCTCGGGCGTTCGCTGCCCGCCCGGGCTTCCCTAGTCTCGGATGATGTGTTGGAAGGAGCTAGGAAAGCAGAGAGGTGTGGGGGACAGCGCGGCCTGACCGTGTTTCTGTTGGGGGGCAGAATGTCACCGGGGTGTCCTGGGTTTGCCATTTTCTCACAAACTGAAGGAATTGGGTTAGTCGTCCCAACTTGGATACTAAAAGCACAGACCTTCATTATGCGCCTTTGTTGGAGTATGGCGAGTGGGCCACTAACAAGGGCWGCCCATCTGATCTCATCTGTAATTAGGATCCTGACCCCGTACACCTGGCTTTTTCCGTGCACCAACCCTTCCTTTCAGGAGCGCAAATTGCACAGTGTCTTCCRGAACCCCGAGGTAGTTTCAAGCCTGATACATGTTAAGGCAACAGGCGGATCAAACTCAACCTATTGGGGAGCCACTTAGCATGGATAAGATAACAGAGATCCAAAGGGAAAGAATACAGTTAGTGTGGCCAGTGTAGAATATGCTTCCTGCAAGCGCCCTTTGCCTGCTTTTTTTATCACCTCTTCCCAGTCCTCATCACGCAAATTTTTGTCCCCTGGGGGCAGATCCAGTGCTCCTTCTATCCCGAAGAATAGGTCTCAGTTGTCAACACAATAGCAGGTGTCTGGAACTAACTCAGATCTTACTGGAACAATGCACCTCTTCAGCTGTGATTATGAAGCCAACACATAGGGCTGAATGCTGTGAGGTTGTTGGTTGAACAAAGAAGTTGTGGAGAATTCTTGTCTGAAATCCGTTTTCAGCCTGAGTCTCCAAGGTGAGGAGACTTGCACTCAGCACTACCCAGCAGTGAGGTCTTCCCTGGACTGTTTTTCTGGCCATGCACTCCATTCTTGTCAAACCACAGGAAATCTGTTTGTTTGGGAACATTGAATCCCTGTGTGTGTGTGTGTGTGTGTGTGTGTGTGTGTGTGTATTTGGGATTGAATGCAGGGGCCCTCTACCAATGAGCCACATCTCTGGCACTTATCATTATCTATTTTGAGGCAGGGTCTGGCTAAATTGTAGAGCCTGGCCTCAAACTTAGAATCCTCTTGCCTCAGCCTCCTCAGTAGCTGGGATTACAGGCGCGTGCGACACCCTCAATGCACATGGCTACAAGAACATTTTAAAACACATTAATATTTATTTGAATGCCTATTCAGTACCACCAGATGATATTCTCAGTTTAGGATAATTCTCTCCTCATACAAAATACCTACTTATGAATATGTATTTTCTTATTTCAGTGTATTCTTTTCATTAAGAAATAAATCTCACTTAGCTGCTGATAAAACTAAAATTGTGTGTGTGTTGGGGGTGGGGTGGGGGGTGAACTGTGAAAGCCTCAATTGAGTTATTAGTCTTTGCCTCCTCAACACCATAGGTTAGGTTGATACTTCAAGTGAATGTTGACATCTCCCCAATAAGGCCTTGACTTCAGTCCCTTCTCATATCTCAATATATCTGGTACCTGCTGAATACAACACATAGACTAGAAGGTACTGCATTTCTGAAAGCTTGTATGCCTCATCTCTGTTGAAGAGGAAGTTCTCAACACATTATGAGGTGGCATTTTAGCAGGATAAAAGGGAAAACCAAAGCTCTGCTCTACCTTAAAGGATTCGGGGGCCATAGTTTACAGTTGATACACAGAATACAAATAAGTGCCAGGGTGGCAATGATCTTCTAAGTCATTTTGGATTGTTTCCCTGTCTTTATGTGTGGCTTACGGGGATGGAGAACTCACAGCAGCACCCAYTAATGGGGCTGGTTTAAGTTATAGTCTTAAACCCTAGTGGTGCTAGTGAAAAGATATGCTAAATTCCTTTAATATTTTCATTAAGAAAAAGTCATGTGAATGTATTATTCTGATTTAGGCTCACCCAATAGAAGACATTCATATTTGGATTTTATATAATTCTGCATTTTTCTTGTTTCTGTATTATTGGTGATTTTTTATTTGAATAATTCAAGAAAATATTAAACWCTTTTCACATTGGTTTCTTTCTTCTTCCCACTTAAAAAATCTCAAGTAAATCACATATAACATGTTTCATAATTTTTTTATATMTGTATCTATATGTAATCTGTAATGTTTACCATGATTGAATTTAGTAATTGGATATCTTATTTTCTAAAATTATCCTCAATCTCAAGAGAGAATGCAGTTAATATATAAGTACTCATTTCCACATGAGGATACAAATGTTAATWTTCTTTTTAATAAAATATGTTTGTTTAGCACTCAGCCATTCATTGACTAACATGAATACAATTAATTTGATATTTGTTTTTCTTGAAGGTATATTTCTTAGTGCTTTTTATTTCATTTAGTTTTTCCTCAGTGGTTGATTCCTGAAATGCCTAGTCAAAATGCTGTTTTTATAATACAAGCAGGTAGAATAACTTCTTACAGTTTCTTATATTTGTGACTTTTATATCTTCTTAAAAATATTTTCTAATTTGAAATTATTAAAATTGTAAGAACAGCCATTCTAGCTGTTTCTCAGATTTCCCTTACCTTTGTTCCTTAYGCTGCTCCAGTTCTTTAAGCCTATTGAGCTCCTAAGAATGTTTGGATGAGAAATGTAAAAAAAGAAAGAAGGTGTAAATGTGATTAGAATTACAGATTTCCTTGTGTTCTGATTTTATTTCCTAAGTAGTAGTCAAGGTGCCCTTTGCTCTTATTTATTTTATTCAGGAAAGAACTGTTAGTGTATTTTAAAGGTTCTTTTATTTTTAATTTATTTATTGGGGAGAGGAGATAATGCTTTCCCATTGAAATTCTCTTCACACATGCATTGTTCACTCATGTATTATAGTCTMTTTGAGAGGATAATTCAGAGATTTGTACATCGAAGACTACATTCAGATAATTTATTTGCCAATTTTTAAAAACCAAGCATTCTTTGGTAGAGAACTCTATGTTGAATACTCTCTCCATGTCAAGTAGTTTGTCAAGGGTAACTGTCAACTTCCACTAATATGACAGAATACCTGAGGCAATTAACTTGTAAAGATAAAAGATTTATTTTGGMTTATGGTTTTGGAGGCTGTAGTTCAAGATCCAGTGGCTCATTGATTTGGGCTGCTGGCAAGGTAGCACGTCATGGCAGGAATGCCTGGCAGAGGAGCAAACTACTTACTTCATGAGCCAGGAAGCATAGAGAAGAAGAGGCCAGAGACCCACAATTCCCTTTGAGGATATGCCTCCAGTTGACCTAAAGACTATCCCACAACGCCCTACCTCCAAAATGTTCCAGTGTACCTCCCAGTAGTGCCACCTTGGGGACATTTAATGTYTGGGGGACGTTTAGCATTCCAAACTATATAGTTAAAAGTCCTATACAATTTTCCTTGTTAGATATTGTCTATGAATAGAATAGTAACAAATTTGATGCGGCARAATGAAATTCTAATATTATTAGACTCTTTTAAGTAGTACTCTATAGCTTTTWTTGTTTGTTTGTTTTAAACTGCCTCCGTTAAAATCAGATCTTATAATCACTCCAAGGACAGTTCATTKCATTCTCACATCCAAGGGAAACAATTTACCTGGTAACCTTGAAGTTTGGAATTGTAGACATCTGAGTTTTAGTCTCAAACTTGGTTCTTCCTTTTGTAGTTCTGTTAATCAGTTATCTTTGAGCCTCTTTTTCATCATCTATAAAATGGAAATATTCTAAGAGGTGGTTGCATAGATGAAATGAAATAATGTATGTAACATGACACAAATCCASGCACATAAGTGTTTAAATATATTCTTGTCATAATTCTTTATCTCATGTCTTGATTTTAACTTTACTTGATTTTTAAGGATGAATTTTTTAGTTTTTAACTCAAAATTTATATTCCTGTGTATCAAATATGTATTTTATAATCATTTGTTTTTTCAGTCAAAAATGATCATTTCTAAAATTGGGAATATTTCTGTCCAAAATGGTCTTTATTAGGTTATTGTCATTTTTTTGTTATTGTTAACAAATAAAACTAAGAAAGAAACAGGGTGGAACCACTGCTAGCCACTACCTCCACTTGCCACCACCACTATTCTGTCTGTATGCAGTGACAAAATAGTATATAAGGTGCAATTACTCATAATTAGCTGGCTAGTGGCTAGCGGCACTTATTGAYAGCAGTCTCAAACTGGGCTTCTCAAATGGGGGCCTATGCCTGTAATCCCAGCTACTTGGAGGATTAKGGCAAATAAGGGYTGGGGATGTAGCTCAGCAATAGAGTGCTCCTGGGTTCAGTCCCCAATTATGTTTCTCATGAACTAACCCCTTTTTTTCCTATTTGAACTGTGTCATCATGGTGATCAAATTTCCAAAGCTCAAATTGAGACCTGTGGTCTGACATAGGGGTGTATTATTTATGTGAGGTTTGCCCTGTGTTGGARCCCACCATGCAAGAACTGTTGGAAACAAGACTGTGGTCAAACAAATGAAGTTCCCTTTACTTGCTGCAACAATGAAGATTGYGCACTACAGGAGCCATAGGTGTTTTGGTAATAAACAGTTGGGAAGGCTTTGTATAGGATTTGTCCTGTGCTGGATGATATTAAGCAGGTTTAATGAAGTGGGGCAATTCAGGAATTGGCTATCTTGGTAACTTTTATCTAGGTATTAGGAAGATTAAGGTGGGCATAGTTGTCATTAATGAAAGAGGCAATGGTAACCAGAGTTGGTCAAAGAGGAAACTGTTCAATAATTTTATGTTTATCGCTTCTCGGCCTTTTG